CAAATAAATAAATTCAAAGACCTATATTATTTTAAATTCATTTTAAATATAAAAAAAATCACAAGTCAAAATAAATATATTGTATTTACCGAAGATCAAGTGTTAAATTTGAGAGATTAGCACAGTTCTATAAAGCTGAACCTAAGCCTAATGCACCTTCATCACCAATTGAATTCCATCTTTTTAAGTATTGAAGAAAAAAATTATTATTAATTTTTAAATTAGAAGGATATAATGAAGGATGGATAATAAAAAAATTAAGAAATTAAAAATTTAATAACAAAGCAAAAAAGTTGAAAATAAAAAAATGAGATAAATTAAGAAAGATAAAAAAGGCACAAGTGTAATAAATAATAAAAAGAAAAATAAATAAAATAAAAATTTATTAAGCAAATAAATTATTAGAGTTTTTTAGCTGTTCGGGATTTTAAAATATTTATATATAGTGATTTTCAAAAGATTCGAAACACTAAATAAGAGCTAAATTAAAAAATACAATTGGAGTAAAAAAATTTTTTTCTTTCAAAATTTGAAAAAATCTTTCTTTATTTTGATTAATTTTCATAAGCCTTTTAAAAAATAATAAAATTGAAGAACAAAAAAATGTTTATCAGTAATATAATAATCATTTCAAATGAATGGGCAGCTATATTATTTTAAATTTACTTTTATAGCTAAAAATATCACAAATCAAAAAAAGCAAACTGTTTTTACCTAAGGTTAAGTGTCAAATTTAAGAGATTAGTGCTATTTGCTAAAGCGGAACATAATCTTGATGCACCAATCGCACCAATTAAATTGATACTTTTTAAATATAGAACAAAAAATATAATTAATTAGTTAGTTAGAATGAAAAAATGAAGAGGAAAATATAAAATAATCAGAAATGAATTAATTAATAATAAAGTAGAAGTTAAAAATTAAAAAATAAATGAGTTAAATTAAGAAAGATAAAAAAAAGATACAAGTATAATAAAGAAAAATAAAAAGCTAATAGGCAAATTAAATGAGAAAAAAAAAAAATTTTATAACTAAAAATATCAGAATCCAAACCAATAAACTGTTTTTACTTAAGATTAAGTTCTAAATTTGAGAGATTAGTGCAGTTTGCTAAAGCAGAACCTAAGACTGATGCGCCAATTGCATCAATTTAATTCCAGCTTTTTAAATATTGAAGAAAAAACATTTAATTAATTAGTTATTTAGAAGGAAAAATGAAGAAAAAATGTAAAATAATAAGAAATTAATTAATTAATAAATAAATAAAAATAAAAATTTTGAAAATAAAATGAGTTAAATTAAGAAAGGTAAAAAAAGCATTATTAGAATAAATAAGAAATATGAATCAAATAAAAAGCTAATAAACGATTTAAAAGAGTTATATTGTTTTAAATTCATTTTTATAACTAATATTTTCATAATTTAAAACAAATAAACTGCTTTTACCCAAGATCAAGTGTTAAATTTGAGAGATTAGTGCAATTTACTAAAGAATAACCTAAGCCTGATACACCTTAGTTACCAACTTAATTTCTACTTTAAAAAATTGAAGAAAAAGTTAATAATTAATTAGTTAGTTAGTAGAAATAAAAAAGAATAAAAAGTAGTAAATTAATTAATGATAAACATATAAGTTGAAAGTAAACAAATGAGTTAAATTAAGAAAGGAAGAAGAAGAAGAAAATATTATTTTAAATTTATTTTTTGAACTAAAAATATCACAATTCTAAACAAACAAACTGTTTTTACTGAAGATTAAGTGTCAAATTTGAGAGATTAGAGCAATTTGTTAAAGCAGAACCTAAATCTGATGCACCAATAGCACCAATTTAATTGCCACTTTTTAATATATTTAATTAGTTAGATAGAAGGGAAAAATAAAGAAAAAATATGAAATATTATGAATGAATGAATTAATAAACAACAAATTCAAATTTTAAAATTAAAATGGATTTAAAAATAAGAAGATTGGAGAAAAAAAACCCCAGTAA